GATGGGATGTTTGAGTACGGAGAGTGCATTTTAGCGAAGATGTCAGTTCCTTGTAGAAAGCATAATCTCATATTTCTGAGTAATAACAGCAGTTCGTAGTCGAAACTTTTGGGGCGAGATGCTGCTGAACGAAAACAGAAGAACCCGGCAGGCGACACCGAACTGGATGGTGCAGCTGAAGAAGTTGCCAGGTGCATAGCTGCAATACAGCTGTTCCTAGTATCTCAGGGTAATGTTGACGGTCTGCTTCAGTTTGCATTTCCCTTCAAACCGCAACTATTATTAGTTCGCTTTTATTTTGTTCAGCTTCGGCAATATCTATTTTTTCCAGGTTTTCCCAATATCGCAGGCTTCAGCAAATCAGCGATCTGGTCGTGCTGGTCGTACAGGGCCTGGCCAGTGCTTTAGACTGTACACTGAAAGACAGTTTAAGGTAAATCCGAAAATTCATCATATCATCATTATTTGATTCATTTAACAATACATTTTATCTTGCTTCCTGAACTGCAAAATTTTCCGCTAAAAATTTCACCGTTATGTGAAACGTAAGCGTACGTGGAAGCTGAGATTAAAACCCTTGGATCTCATGATTGGATCTCATGAAGGGGGGAAAAAACTTCCTTACGAAATTTCATCTTCCTAGTTTTTTTGGCTTTCGAGTTGTTGGCTTCCTCACTGGAACTTCCTCGTAGATGTACGTGAGACCTAGGCATAAATAGGAGCTAAATTTCAATTTTTGAGATCCCTGCGTAGGCAGAAAGTATCACCCTGAAATCTCAGCCTCCTAGCTGTTTTTGGTTTCCGCCAGAGTTTCACGGGGCCGTTCTTGAGACTCATGCATGCGTGGAAGCTAAATTTCAGTTTGCGGGGTCACACATTTGCGAGAGTTGTTCCCGTAGAATTTCAGCTTCCCAGCTTTTGTGCTTCCTAATTTGAAAATATGGGAAAAAACTCACTCAGACACAAACACACACACACAGAGATAAGAGCATGGCAGTATACGTTTTGTGCTGCTGTTACGCAACTCAAAACGCATCAGAAGTAGTTATTATTAATTAAAGGCATGTAGCTCAGTGTTGGAGGATCTTAACTGCGTCCAGCGCATGAGATCGTCCAGCAGTATCACCAGTATGAAATACCCATTTGGATTGTGTAAATGGTCTTGACATTCTCGTTACATTTATTGCCTATTTAATCAAGTTTGGCAATTTT